GGATCGATACCCAGGTCGTCGAATGCAGTGGCGTGATTGGTCGCAGGATGGGAGGCCGTAGTCGGACTGTCGGTGGGGTCGGTCTGGATCTGAACAAGCGAAAGAAGAAGTTGCCAAAAAACGAATAAGTTTGTGCAGAGAGAACTGCGGTGTGTCCTCGTACACCGGGGTGGCGGGACTAGGAAGTGCGAATTGACTTGTGGTATGTTCTGGAGTTTTTGGCAGGAATGGGACTCGAACCACCGTATTCTAGGTCGTCGCGCATATTGTGGACGGCGCTCGCCCCATTGACCCGCGAAAACAACCGGGGCAGAATCCAGTTCACGGTAAGTCTAATGCGAGCAATCCGGCTAGGAGTGCCAATTTCGAGTTACTTGTGTCTGGGCTGGTTCTGGATAGCTGGGGATAGGTGTTTGTCCCAGCGAGGATTCGAACCCAGATTATTCCCTCAATTCACTAATTTATGAGTAAGCCAGGAACGCCATCCCATTAGACTACCGAGACAGGCCACGGTACGTTTAACGCGAGCAGTCCGGCTGGGAGTACCAACTTCGAGATGCTTGCTTCCGGACTGGCTAGGATTTGAGCGCTTGGGTGGATGATGCGCTTTCAACGCTGAACATCGTTACGGACTCGATCCTGGGACCTTCGGATCTGAAGTGTCTACACCTGCCATCGGGTCGTCGTGACAGCCTTCTCAGGAAGACCATGTCTCGCCCGGGGTGTGGGAAGTGATGCATCACTACAGTGCGAGTACAGTCTCCTTCGGGGAGCCCTGTCTCGCTGTCAGCTCGGACAGTCTTCTCTCGGGAGTAAGGACTCCAGGGCTATGCATATGAACCATCGAGGATCGAACCGTCGACATCTGATGACAAGTCATCTAGTTTTACCGTTAGACTACATAGTCTGAGGGTATTACTATCCATCTGCGGGGACGCCCGGGGCTGGAGCACATCATCCCTGATGTGCGATGCGAGGGAGACGCCGTCTTTACTGACATGCGAGGGAGACGGCGTCTCCACTGACATGCGCGGGAGACGCCGTCTCCACAAAC